TACTCTGATCCACACGGAGAGACGAAAGAGATAGGCCATTCCTGACATTCTGTAAAAGAATGGTTTTAAGCAAGGAGTTATATATCAAATGTATTCAATTCGAACAACTAATTTTATGTGAGGCAAACACATCAGCACTTTTTTTTCCAGATAGAAAAGGTTGTATTTACAGAAGAGAGGATGGCGACTTCCATCCTGGCACCGGCTCAACCATCGCCCACTTTTTCTGCACAACATACGCCTGGATATCCTCAATAGTCCGTGATGAAACGTATTTGCGGAAATTGCCATCTTTAGCGCTGTGGATGAGATGGCTTATTTTAGTATTATACTTTAAATATATGGCATTTTTTATAAAAAAAAATGGAACCTAAAAGAACATTTTGAAAGCCAGTTTTGTCATAACACCTTAGGGAATATAAATTCAGCCATCTGAGGACTTACTGAAATATAGTCGGCAGTGTCGTAACCAGAAACCTCCCACTCAGACCTGCAGAACAAAAGAACAGAGGACGGATATATTGATGCAGAAATACAGATAGAAGAGCGAGCACATCCTATACCGGCCAAAAAAATCCTTTCGGCATGGGAAGGCGGTGAATGGTCTATAGCAGCGCTGTAATAAGAGTAAAGCATGACAGCTTTCTGACAGTAACGGGCGTTTTCTCGCCGCCAGCTGAGACTTCCACAGAAACGTACGGGAGAGACGCCATTCAAGCCCCGCTGCAGGTGGAAGCACAAGACCACAGACTCCATTCACACCCGCATCATTAGCCGCTTAAATGCAATCTTTGCTTGCGTTTCAAATGCAATTAGTGTTCAAAGGGAATCGTCTAAACGGCTCTGGATATAATGGTACTAATAATAAAGGCTTTCATCTGCTTGTGATGTCACTCAGTGATGGCACACATCAAATATAGCTGATAATAACTGCAGGAGGAATTCAAATTAATGATCTGTTAAAAGCACAACTCAAGTTTGGCTGCTTTAAAGTCCCACTGTAGCTCATTTGAGCCACATGACTAAACTTAAAGGGACTCTGTGAGCAAACAATCCAGCAGTGTTCAATGTAAATGCCAGACGCACTGCTGTTGATCAGGCCGGATGCAAATAAGGCCTTCACACTGATGATAGTATCATACGCATATAATTCTTTTCAACGGCTCTGAATGTGGCTCATCCTGTTTTATAGTATCTTCAGACTTGCAACTGTTGCATAATGTCAAGATGTTTTTGCACTTACAGACTAATTGTAACCAAATGTATTTATATATACAGTATATATATATATATATATACACATATATATATACACATATATATATATATATACACATACATACATACATACATACAGGAAATACAATAAGTAATTGTAGTATTAGTTAGTAGTAATAACAATACATTTTAGTAATAACATTTTTGTATTATATTTTAATTACATTGTATTAATTAGCTGTGTGTGTATATATATATATATATGTATATATATACACATACACAGAGATATGTACACATACACACACACAGATAGATAATTTAAAAACTGCATCATATACAGGAAGAAGCAATGGTCAAACCTGGTTGTTGTGTAACGTCAACCCTGCCCACTGATATGCCCAGACTTTCACTTTGTCTTCCAAGATTCTCCCAGTCTGTTTGTAAATGTTGGCAGGCCGGACACCACGGGGCATAACTGATAAAAACACATGAAACAGAGCTATTCATTTACATGCATGCATGCATGCATAAATAATATATTATTTAATTGCTGCATATCGGATGTAAATGTGGGTGTAACCCTGGTGATGTGAACATGTCCACTGTAGGCCACTATTTACACAATAACATCCACAATATTTGTGCATATAGACCTGTATAGCATAGCATGGCGATTTGAAACGATTTGCGTTCATTTATATAAACTATTGCAGCAAAAAAAGAGATTTATAATCACTTCCGGTCAGAACTCGGCACACCCGTCGCTGCACAACATACATTGTTATTGTTTTTATTTAGACACTGTTACAGTATAAATTGTTACACTGTTGCAGCGCGCGGCAGATCAAAGCATCCTCGAATCCCAGCGCTAATAATCTGATCATTCACACCTGAATCCTGCAGTTTATGGATCAGATCAGATCAGATCAGATCACACACACCGTACTCACAATTTGATCATCCACTCGCCGTGCAGGATGAGCGTCCAGTTCGCGTCGGCCACAGTCAGCACATTACTTCTGCCATATTTCAGCATGTCAGCGCGTGTCAGTCCCGCCATATTGCTGCTGCTGCAGGAGCACATGATTCAACACAAGCAGGAAATACAGCAGCGGCGGCGCTTAAAGCTGAACTCGACAGATGTGAATAAAGCACCTCTGCAGAAACACACACACACGCCTGTATACTGCACATATTATACTGGTACCGATAAAAAATAATATTTTAATAAATAATACAGTTTTTTATTTTATATATTTATATATAAATATCATATTTTAAAAAAGGTTTTTAGTTCAAAAAATTAAAAATATATTATATATATATTGATATTGATATTACATATTACATACAACTGTGTGTGTCTATTTTATATAATATATTGCTGATTATGTGCCTACAGTATTTTCAAAAAACAATAGTCTCTTGAAGAAACGGTCTATTTCAGGGTTTGTTATCTAATCTGTCCCACACACTATGAATTTAATTGTGGATTTTATGAAGTTACGTTATTTCCCGTATATGTGAGCTCTGTTCAGGAACAGTCTTACATAACACATCACAGTATAACTCACAAAAACCTGCCTGCTTCATAAATAATAAATAACAAAAATGCTCAGATGAGGTTTTGTCCTAATCAAAGATCATTTGTATATAATTTGAGTATTTTTGCTGCAGTTCTGTTAAATCACACCTGATCACACTTTGACGCTTATAGATCAATATATAACAGCCAATTTAATCTTCATGTACTTTCAAGCTGACTATAACACAATAATAATAATAATAATAATAATAATAATAATAATAATAGAATTAAAAATAGCTGTTTTTCTTTCTTGTAGGTTTCCCAGAAGTGGAACTGAAACAAAACTTGTGAATGTGACTTATATGAATATAAACATTGATCATATTGTATCTGACAATATTAGCATATTATATTATAGGCCTAATTATCATCACTGGTCTGAATTAATATTGATGCAGCCTAATTGAAAGATTAATTAATTGAACATAAATTACTTTTCATTTTCTAGAAACTAATCAGGCATGCTCTATCGTTTTGCATTAGATAAATAAGCTTATAGATTAGTTTGTAAGAGATGAAAGATGAGAAGTTAATATATGAGACGCATGATTGCATTCAGGGCTGAACTGTATAGGATTTAGATTCCCAGATGTGGGAGAGGAAAAAGAAGACTCCCAAAAGAGGTGCCAGCGCTGTCTTTGTCAGTCAATATTAGTGCATTAGTGTTTTAATTATCACCATCCGCCTGAATTGGTCAATAATGGAAGCAGATTATATCAGGGTTTATTTTGTCCAGTTTGTTCAGTGTGCCTCTTTCTGTGCCGGTTACACAGTTTCAGCTTTCCTTCTGTATACTTGAATGTTTTGATGGCTGTTTGTGCATCAAGCATGAATCATATTCTAGATTTGAGCTGTATTATGATCACATTAAAAAAGAAATGTATAATGTTGTCAATAACAAATCATTATCTGTTGTTGCTCTAAATTTCATAATGAGAATGATATGGTCAGTGTATGAAACAAATACTACCATGATGTATAAATACTTAAATTAAAAGTTAACTTAATGTTTTTTTTTTAATGTCACAATGCAAAAAAAAACAAAAACCCGAATGCTAATAAATAGGCTTTAAAATAGTTATTTTTTCATTCTTTATATATGTATTCATAAAATGCATATTCTTTTAAATTCCTTCTGCATAATATCATTGTGCATTTAAACTTTTATTTGTAATTTAAGTCACATTTTAGTCACATTACAATAGGTTACTAAAAGAGAAAAGGCGCTTAATTGTCGTAAAAAAATATTTCACAATGCAAAAAATCTTAATGACAATAAAACTAGTTTTTTTTCTTTATATGTGTATTTATAACATATGCATTCTTTTTATTTCTGACTGCAGCATACTGTATTATTGTGCATTTAAACTTTGATTTATTTGTCATTTGATTTATTTTAATTAACCTACATTATAATAGGTTACTAAAAGGGAAAAGTGCTTAATTGTTATGAAAAATGTTCACAATGCAAAAAATCTTACTGGTAAAAATATAAATATACTTAAAAATAAACGTAAACAATTTTGTACATTTTTTTAAATAGCATTTCATTTCCCACTGCAACATATTTAAGCATTTAAACTTTGATTTATTTGTAAGTAGTAAAAATATAAATATACTTAAAAATAAACGTAAACAATTTTGTAAATTTTTTTAAATAGCATTTCATTTCCCACTGCAACATATTTAAGCATTTAAACTTTGATTTATTTGTAAGTGTTGTAATAGATAAAATTATGCTGATTTCTATAGCTGGCAAAAATCCCCGCGAGTGTCCTGCCTGCATTCTCTTTGCAGAGGTGTTATGAAATGTTTCATTGTGCCGTTTCCTCCAGCAGGGGAGGGATGCGATGCGCACTAGGAGGCGCTGGATCTCAGTGCACACATGTGCGGAGGACACTCTCTCTCTCTCTCTCTCTCTCTCTCTCTCACTCCATCATTTATTATCGCTCTTTGTCACTGCTGCTCATTTGCTCCGCGTCTTCGATCACTCCTTTCGTTCTCAATCACAAATCGTTCAGTCCAATCAGACAGCATGCGTTTAACGCGTCCGCGCGCCAAGCGCTTCTAAATGACCATCCGTGCGCGTAAAGCGTTTCCATTCACCACAACTGGTCCGCTGTCATCCAGCGCGCTCCGCTTTGGCTTCTTCCCGGAGAAGAAAGAGAGAGACTCTCTAGAGATTTTTTCCCCCGCAGCTTTGGGTGTAAATGTTGACGCTTGAATGGCTGGAGCACAACCTGGCGTCCATGCGCTTCAACTCAAGCCGGTGCGCGTGTCTGAGAGTCTGAAGCGAGGCAGCAGATTTATGAAATGGGATGAGGTAAGTCACCAGCATCAGCCTGTGTGTGTGTGTGTGTGTGTGTGTGTGCGGGTGTTTGACGTCTTCAAGTCAGAGAATGAATGCTTTTGCGGTGAATGCGGTTTGTTCGAGCGCTCGCGCGGATGTTGCATTGTTTACAAGCCCAACATCAACCCAGCAAACGCCGCAGACCCTCTCAATCAGCTCCCCATTGATCTTTACTGAGGTTAGACGGGGTCTGATAGAGGAACGCGCCCTGTTTCGAGGTCTCAAGTCCATCAGCATGTTCCCAGCCTTCACAGACTCCATCTGGAGCGAGTGTCAGAGTCTCTGCAGAGCCTCAAGAGAATGACATCAGGCTACTTTGTGTGCAGTAATGTATCACTGCATCAATCTGTCACTAGAAACCTGACTGCACTAATGCAACAAGCTCTCATGCGATTCCTCGCTATGTGTTGTGATATGAAACCTTTAAAAACAAGCATGCAGTTTTCTAGAGTGTGTCGCATTTTGTAGCGAGTGATGCATGAGCATTGATTGAGTGCTGAGGATCTCTTACACATTCACCTGTTGGATGAAAGAGTTTTCTGTGAGAAAAACTCCCTGCAGCTCCAGATGAAGGAATTTAAGGGTTTTGTGTAAGATAAATGTCTAATATTTTCTGTATTTCAAAGCATACCTGATTTGTTTAGTTGTTTCTTCTATTGCAGAGGCTTTATTTTGTATCAGAGATTTTAAGAAATGAGGGGTTCTGCTGAATATTTAGCACATTCTCCTTACACTGAAAAGAAAAACTGATGTAGAAACAGTTTACAATTAAGTTTTACGCATTGAAGTAAATGTAAAATTGACAAGAGACTGACTGAAGTAGGATTTACTCGTAAAACGTATTCCAATAATCTTTGTTTTTATTTACAACTGTGAAAAATCCTTTTGAAAGTGTAAAAAATTACATTTGGTAGTTGATCAATATAGGCTTTAATGGAATTGAGCTTTTAGTTCATGCAGATCCATTCATTTCATTTTCATTACACCATTAATTAAAAATCAACTGTAATTCAGGTTTTGATGCGTTTGTTTTACACAGTAAAACATTTGTTGATTAACGTCAGTACTTTTGTCTATTAATGCTCTAAAGCCAAAAATAAAATCATTGCATTCATTTTGGAAACATCTGCTATAAATTCTGTCCAAAAAAAAAAAAAACTGGTTTATTAGTGTAACTAAGTCTGATACCATTTTTCTAGCATTTTTTTTCTAATTTAAACACTTTTTTTTCCAATACAAATTATCAGCAGAACAAGAAACATTAATGTGCATTTGAGAACGTTTGGTGTGTTTGGAGGTTTTGTAAACTATCCAAGTAAAGCATTTGTTGTTGTTCGTAACATCAGTACTTTTGTCTATTGTGTAATGCTCTAAGGCCAAGTATAAAAGCCATTCTTGGTCATTTTTAATCATTCATTTTAGAAACTGCTGCTATTCTTTCCCAAGAAGCTACCAGAGATTTTAAGAAGTGAGGCGTTTCATTTAATATTTATCATGTTCTCTGTAATATTACATTTAGTTACATTGTTCAACATATTGGTTGAACAATATGGTTTATAATGTCCAATTCTTGGACTTTTGCTTTTAGTTCACACAGATCTTGAATATTTGGTTACATCATTAATCAAAAATCAACTGTAATTCAACTATTAAGAGATTTTGAGATTCCGTTCTGTAGTAAAACATTTGTTGATGTTGGTAACAACAGTACTTTGGTCTGTTATGTAATGCTCTAAAAATAATAAAGAATGGCTTTTATATTTAGATTTAATCATAGAGGCTACATTCATGTTAGAAACTGCTGCTATAAATTCTGTTTAAAAAAGCTGGTAGTACATTGAAGTCTGATATACTTTTCAACATTTTCTAGCAGTTTTTTCTAATTTCATTCATTTAAAAAAAAATGTTCATTACAAATGACAAAAAAGCTGGTTCATTATATAAGTCTGATCGCATTTTTTTTCCAGCATTTCTAGATTTTTTCTAGCATTTTTTCTAATTTAAACACTTTTTTATGCAAATGATCCAGAATGCAACATTTGTTGATGTTGGTAATATCAGTACTTTTGTCTATTATATAATGCTCTAAAGCTAAATACATTAATTTTCAAAACTTCTGCTATAAATTCTGTCCAATAAAGCTGGTTTATTATGTTATGCAATTTTAGGTAGTACACTTAAGTCTGATACCATTTTCAGCATTATTATTATTATTTTTCTTTATTTAATTAATTTTAAATTTTTTTTTTCATAAAAAATTACAAAAAAACCTGGTTTATTATGTTAGTGTAACTACGTCGGATACCTTTTTTTTCAGCATTTCTAGATTTTTCTAGCATTTTTTCTAATTTAAACATTTTTATGCAAATGATCCAGAATACAACATTTGTTGATGTTGGTAATATCAGTACTTTTGTCTATTATATAATGCTCTAAAGCTAAATACATTCATTTTCGAAGCTTCTACTATGAATTCTGTCCAAAAAAGCTGGTTTATTATGTTATGCAATTTTAAGTAGTACACTTAAGTCTGATACCATTTTCAGCATTTTTTATTTAAATTTTTTAAATTTCATTCATTTGAAACTGTTTTTTTTTCATTAAAAATGACAAAAAAGCTGGTTTATTATGTTAGTGTAACTAAGTCTGATACAATTTTTTTTCAGCATTTCTAGATTTTTTTCTAGCATTTTTTCTAATTTAAACACGTTTATATGCAAATGATCCAGAATACAACATTTGTTGATGTTGGTAATATCAGTACTTTTGTCTATTATATAATGCTCTAAAGCTAAATACATTCATTTTCGAAACTTCTGCTATGAATTCTGTCCAAAAAAGCTGGTTTATTATGTTATGCAATTTTAGGTAGTACACTTAAGTCTGATACCATTTTCAGCATTTTTTCCTCATTTAACATTTTTTTATCACACATTTTTAGATGCCATTTATCTAGTATTCTCTACCATTTTTATCTCATTTAAACACATTTGCATTACAAATGAACAACATCATAAGAATAATTCACATAATTAACATGGATTTTAGAATGTAGTTGAACAAAACCTGATGATCATGTTCTCCAGAATGATTTGAGATGTTACAAAGGAAGAAGAAAATCAGTCTCTGTGCCTCAAATTGAATGATATTTCCAAGAATCTGAAATATTGCTTAATTTTGCATCTTGGTTTTACATTTTCAAGTTTAAAAGGGGACAAAATCGTGCTCTTTTAGAAGCTGTAATCACTAAGTAGGTGTGAGTTTTCTGGAGGAGTCTGACTGCCATCAGCACAATAATGCTGTACAGCTTTACGTGAGCTTATGCTGAAAATGTTGACGTTTAAAAGCTTTTCTCTGCAAATAAAACGGGAAATGTTGGCCTGTTGCTATGGCAACTTTCATGCTTTAAATTCCCATCTTCCTTGCCTGCCTTACATTAGCAAAGACACAACTTAGATGTGCAGTTAGAATGTGGGCAGACCCACGCAAGAGCTAAAATAACACAATCAGTTACAGATCTCTGTGGAGAGGACGCCGTCGGCTTGAGGGGCGAATGCTCCCCTTTCCTCAGCGGATGAGACGTTAGCTTTGCCCCTTGTCTTTTCAAATGTTCTGTGACTTGAATGTTGTGACTTCCACCGGTTGGTAAATTATTACCAGCCTGCATGAATCACACAAATATAGAGCGCTTATGCAACGTCTGAGTCAAACCTCAAATTTCGGTCCATCCCGAGACTGTATCGAGAAACATGTTTTCAAGTGGATTGCCACAGAAATCCCAAGTGTTTTTCTTGCGCGAGGCAAGATTAGTCTTTAGCTCCCACTGAAACATGACGTCAGCTTACAGAAGACTTTGATTCTGCTGTGCTTTTTATTCTGAGTACTTAAAATAACTCCTGCAGTTGACTGTACAGACCATATGATATCAAAATCAGACCTTTAGCTTCTGTTATTTTAGTATATACTATTAGCTTTTGTTCATATTTGGAATTTTATTTTTAGTTTTGTTGTGTTTTTGTCATTTTATTAATTTATATGTTTTTTATTAATTTGTACTTATTAGTTTTTGTTTAATTTTAGTCAGTTTAGTACTTCAAGCTAAACTAAATGAAAATGAGAAATATTTTATTTTATATATGCATTTGATTTTTTATTTAAGTTTATTTTATTTCAAGTAACAATTTTTATTATTATTATTATTGAATTTTATGGGTTATATTCTGCCATATATGATATTAAAATTTTACTTTTATTGATTTTATTCCATCTGTTTGCTCTGAGCCACTATTATTTTAGTATATACTATTAGTTTTAGTTAATATTTTTATTTTATTTTTAGTAATTTTGTTGTGTGCTTTTGTTATTAGTCTATATAGTTTTTATTCATTTTTATTTATTAGTATTGTTTTATTTAAATTATTTTAATATTTAAAATTAAACTGAATGAAAATGATAAATATTTTATTTGATATTTATATATTTATATTTTATATTATTTCTCTTAACATTAATTTCAAGTAACTATTTGTTTATTTGTTTGTTTGGTTGGTTTTACTTTTAGTTAATCATAATAACCCTGCTCTATATGCTAGTTTAAAAGGAAACTTTCAGCAGATATCGTCTCAGGTTACTTATGTAACCATGGTTCCCTGAGTAGGGAATGAGACACTGCGTCCTCTACGGGTCGCTATGGGGAACGCCTCGTCGTGACCCGTGTCTGAAGCATACATTGAAAAAACACCAAAAACACGTTGGCCGGCGACAGCCATGACGTCACTACCGGTGCAACTATAGTATAAAT